TGTTTTATTTATTCATAAATATAATTCAGTCTAATACATCACAGATTTTTAGCAATAGTTTTTCTAGTATTCTTATTAATTATTTAAAAATATCACTCCTTACGAAAATTATCTTTAAATAATTTATTGATTACAATATCTAAGGATTAATATACACTTGTTAAACCTTCTAAGATTATTGCTAAATCAATACCATTATCATGAAATTTTTTTTTAATTAATTTTTCTATAAAAGAATCCTATACCATTATTATAGAAGTCTTAGATTCATTATCAATTTTTGATTCATTAATATAATTAATATACTTTAGTATCAAATCAGAATCTATCTATTCATTTATTGAAATTAAACTATTATACCAGATGAAATTAGGTTATCTTTATTACATAGTAATCTTTTCTCTTTAAAAATATATATTGATAGATAATTTGTCTTATATAAAATAAAAAAACAAAAATTTCTAATAAACATAAAAGTTATTACATAAAGAATATGAATGTATTTAATTTATTATAAAAAAAAATAATAAAATAATTCTTACCTATAATATATATTAAAATAATTGTGAATCTATTTTTTTTATTTCTAATTTCATTTATATAGATTATTTTTTTACCTGTATAATTAATAGTAAAATTTTTCTGTTATATCAAAGCAGACAGGTATTTTATTAATGTTAAGAATATTGGATAATTCAAAAGCTTTTTCTATTCTAAGATGGATAATAAATTGATAAAATTTTTTAATAATTATTAGTTTGTGATAAAGTTTTTATAAAATCTTAGTATGTTATCATTTAAAAAAGTTAAACCTATTCATAAATACAAAGACTCAATGATTTGAAGTCTTAAAATTTTGTGCTATATTCCCTTAAAGATTTATCATTTTAGATTTATCAATTATTTTCTTCATTTTAAATTATATGATTGCATAAGTAATACTTAACTTCTGCTTTCTCTAACTATTTAATTATATAATTTTTTCTACTCTACAATAAAAAACAGTTTGACCTAAACTAACTCGTTTACTATTTTATTCAGTTTAGTTACTTAGTTTTTACTTGTTCTTATTCTATGCCTAACATATTACTATTAAAACTAAACTATCTTACTACTTTATTTTTTTAGCATAAACATCAACTTGTTCTTTTATTCCAATGTATATGAATTGCTATGACATTTAAAAATAGTTTTATAAACTTTTTTTATTTAATGGTTTTTTTGTAGTTTTTTGTAGTAGCATGTTGTGTAGACTAGTACTTTAAATAAATAAGCTTAAAATAAGTTTTATATTTGAAATTGTTTATATTTTATAATAAATTTATACAAATGATATCATTAAATGATCCATTAAGCGATCATTAAATTTTTTCATTTTTATATCAGAAATTCATTTTTTATATCAAAAATTTGTTTTTATATTAGAAGTTTAAATTAAATAATTAAATAAGATCTTTATAATTTGAGAAATCAATATTAGAATGTAAAGAATAAATGTATTTAATTTTAAAATACTTTAGAATATGCTATAAATCAATTATAATACTAAGATTGATAAAATAATTTTTTATTATTTTTATGAATTTTAATGTTATATAAACAGTTATATTATATTTTAATAATATTTAAAAGATTTAAAAAAATTTTTTTAAATCAAATTTTAAGATTAATAATGTTTAAATATTTGAGAATAATAAAAAATCTGAATTAATTAGTCTAAAATGAAGTGAAGGACTATATATATATAAGCAATAATAATAAAAAATATTCATTTGTTTACTTGCTTAATAATTGAGTCATTGCTAATTAGCCTTTTGCAATTACACAAAAGTCTAAATAAAAAAAAATACTATTAGTTTCATTCTGAACTTAATAACAGTATCTATTTTCTAGTATATTTTATAGTTATCTGTATCAATATTATTCTAAATAATTAAAATATATTTTATAATGCAAAAGAAAATACTAAGTATTAATTAATAAAAATTGTAATTATAATATTTATCATCTTTAAAAAAATTTTTTATTATAAAAAAATTTGATTGCTTATTTGACATTAAATGTAAATGTATAAAAATTTTCCATTTTTTTTATTTAGAATTATTATTTTATTTATAAATAAACATTGCTTAATATTATAAAAATCAATTATATTATTATAAATTAAAAGAATTTGATAAAAGGTTAGTAATTATAAATTTTCTTGGTAGTAAAACAATATTTTTGTTAATAAATATTATTATGAATATATTAGTTCTTGATGAAATTTTATTAAAGATATTTGAAATAAAATCTTAAAAAAAAAAAAAAGCAAAACTTAATTCATTGGTAGTACAACAAATAATATAAAAATGGCGTTTTGGCATTGGCAAATTTCACGTCATTCATAAATCTGGTAAGACGCGAATATTTTGTAGATCCTTCCATGACAGCCATGATAACCGTTCCATTGGAGTTCTCGGAAATTAATTTCTTTGTAATAAATATATACTATTCATAAAAAAAGTGTCATTGGTTATTTAAATTGATCTAAAAAAAACTATTTATTAACTGACATAATATTATTATAATGCACCATTGTTTTATTTTTTTTTATTTTCGTGTTAAAATTTACTGATATTCCGTAACACCGTCCAAAAAAAATCCCCCCCTAAAATTTATTCATCTTAAAAATTCATTTGCTTAATATATTGACTATTTACATGTATTTAGTTAATGAAAAAATATTTAATATAATATAAAATATAAAAAACTATGAAATACACAAGTTTGTAACCGCTCTTTATAGAATAAAAATAGATTCATTTGACATCATAAGAGATATAAAAGTGTAACCCGTAAACGAAATATATACATGAGAATATAAACATTTGATAAAAAGTATGTATGTATAAATTGTCTGCAGCTTGACAAGATGAAGGCTGAAGAATGTTGCGAATTGAAAGAACGAAATCAGTTTTATCTAATAAAATTGATGGACATCTTTCGTTGAATTCGTAAGGTAGAACTTTTCGTTTTAAATCTTTCTCGGTAAATAAAATTTTTAACAATTAATGGGGTACGTCCAGGAAGCATTTTTGCGATTTGAACATAAGTCAGGTTAGGTTGATGTTGCCTCGTTTGTCGAATACATTTCTCCTCGTTTTCGGTTAGCGGAGATTTGTCGACTATTATAATTTTATTTTTTTTTTTTTTTTTAATAATAAAAAAAATAAATAAATAAAATTATAAAATTATTTATTATTTAACATAAAATATGCGCAAACTTACTTGAATCATCTAGGTGATTCAACCATCTAAAGAATACAATCCAGGTTGGTTAATGAAATATGCCCATCATTATTTTGCATATATCAAGATTTGAAATTACCTTTCTCGACATTGTTTAGATGTACGAGTTTGCATTTCTTTTGCGATAATCACCCAAGATATCTGATGATTTATATGAAGAGTTCTATATTGATTTACCAAGCAACGAAGAAGTTCGTCTTCCTAAAAAAAAAAAAAACAAAAATCATCAAAGGTTACATAATAGTAAATAATAATAATAATAATGACACCAAATGCAACAGTAGAAGTCAATGGACAAACAAATTATCTTGAGTTTTATCGTAAGATTTTATGTCTTTGAAACATTGTACAAGTTTTATTACGACATATTTATGCATTCACTTACAAAATTGTTCCACGGACCTTTGGCAATTTGAAAGCTTGTTTTCACGTTTGAAGGCATGATTTCTTTTGCTTGAAAGATGTTATAAATTTCAAAGAATTGTTGTAGTATTCGAAAAACGAATGGATTATAGATTTTATTTATATCAAAATCCCATTTACGCAGCATTCAAGTTAAAAAATTTTAAAATAGGTTCTTTTTTGTTAATCTAATATTTTATTTTAGCCCAATTCTAAACTAGTCCAGAATGCTCGTCATTACGTACCTTACACAATACGTATCCCCATTTTTTTTTTGTTGTACACTAAAATTATATAAATATCACCCGAAGAAAAATTTTTAGCCCTGCATATAAATGGCTTTTTTTGATATGCGTCAGACAACTTCGTCAACAATTTCCATTACAAGTTAATTAATTTGCTACATCGGCAGAAAAAAATTGTGGCTTGATCCTATAAACCATTCTTGTAGAACCCCAAAAATAATTATGTAATACAGAGAAATGGCATAATCTCCGAATAAATTTTTCCCATGATATAATTCAACAAAACCAACTGCGGTTATTGAATAATATGCTTCCTGATAAATTGTTTTTATGCGGTATTGGGTATCATTAATTTTATAAAACAATTAATAAATAATCACTATTATGAAACCTTTAGCGATCATTTCTCGAAAAAATTAAACACAATTCAATTTCAAAAGACCTGTATAACCATATACAATATGGTTTATATTTCAAGTATAAAAACAAGAAACCGAGATAGATGGCAATAGATCAAAAGGTTTGATCTGTGAATGTGATGCGGCTAAATAATTTCCCATATATATATTGGCGCAGTAGCTTTCGAAACAATCATCGATTCGATAATTATATAATGAGGATCTCATCATTTTGAAAATTTTTTTTTACGAAAACCGTTCAATTTAACAATTTACACATACACAATATATATATAGCATACAATTCATTGAAACTTCTTGAAGCCAACTTTCCATCAACTGTTTAATTCTTACTGAAGAATTATCATTATTTGTAAAGAAAAAAAAAGTAAGGAAGCATCACTTACAAGAAAGAAATGAATTTTTTCTATATAAAATCCCTGACAAATGCCAAAATTCTAATAATATCTCGAGCTGTACAAGTAAAGCGAATTTCAAACTACACCGTTTCGTTTATTATCTCGTATATTCACACGTTCATTGCGTTTTCCCGCAGCACATATAATCCTCTTCATTTGCTGTTTATTAAAAAGCTTGCTTGATCAGTATACTATTACTTCTTCAATTTAAAAACGATCCATTAGAAAAAAAAAAATGTTATTGATCATACATCTTCGTTATATCCGGTATCCATCTTTACATCTGAAAGATAACGAGGTGAGAGCACCCCGACCGAACTTCGAAGACCAAGTTCACATCGACGAACAGGATTAAGTCTTGAACTTATCGTTGGTCGATATTTCATGTATCGTTCTCTTATGTCTATGGAAAAAAAAAAAAATGAAAAAAAAAGCATTATTTATAGAACTTAAATACCGCATCAATCGCAAAAAAATTTGCTTACTTGATGATCGTAAAACTTTGTCCTCTGTGGTCATTAATTTCAACTTGATCTCACTTCCGTAATTTGTAGGGACTATCCTTGACGGGGTTTTAAAATGTGGGGGTGAAGGAGGCGCAGATTGAATCGATGCGGAAAGTGGAACGAATGATGGCGTTGAATTTTCATACGTACTATTTGAAATTGGATTTATGGTACAAAATTCGTTTTCACCATCTTGTTCTTTGTTTTCCGCGTTGATACCTGATGACCTCCTTATCTTACGATGTCGACGCCGATGGATAACGGGATTTGCGTTAACTCGAAATCTGGTATTGATCATGATTTAAAAAGGATTTATTTATTCGTCATGCAACGGTTTTTACGTATTTAGGTATATACGCTCCTTTATATGACTTTGAAGCCTTTTCGAATATTTCTCACAAATCGCGTCTTAGAAAAAAACTTTACCTTTCTTTGTAGCTATCGTTTACTAACTCGGGTATAAATCGCGTCATTGCCCAAAAAATTATCGTCGCCACTATAAATAACCAAAAATTTGGCATTTTCATCATATTTGCGATCTCAAACATGTGCGTTCGTTCGACTTCTGCACTTGCGGAGATGAAAATCTTCGTGTTCATGGTGTAAATAAGTAAGTAGTAAATGCTATTAAAGTCGCGTTATATTAAAAAGTTAACTATTTGTAATAAAATAAAAATTAGGTCGAAATCGGGTTAGTGTATAACTTAAATATCAGGGTAAATGAATGGGGGGAATGAATGGATTTGATGGATTTTTTTTTTTTTTCAATGTTTTGTTTTATATGTAGAAAATTTTTAGGTTTATCATGAAAAAGTTATTGGTGTTGAACGTAGATCATAACTTTACATATTTAGATAACTAGTCGGTGAAAAGGAAATTATCTAACAATGTCTTCTTGTGGCTTATTTCCTATTCGAGTCACATACATGTCCGAATTAACTCAATTCAGATATATTCTCGAATGTATTTTCCCGCCAAAAATTTATATAGGATGGAAGATTGAGGAGGGGGTGTGTGAAGAGAGAAAAAAAAAAAAACAAAAAAAAAATTTTGTGCGGAAAAAAAAAATGTGATGATAGATAATATGGCTGTCTTTTTATGTTATTTTTTTTCTTTCTTTTATTTATTGGTTTGTGATTCGTGTGACAATTCACCTTTTTCTGTTAAATCAGGACTAGATCTCCGAACGTAGTCATACAACAAATATCCATACAATTAGATCTTTTTACAATTCTAAATTTGAAGAATTCTGAACAGACCGAAATCAAACAGGATTCATAGCCTGATTAAGGCCAAAAAAAAATAACCAAATCAAGAAATTTTCTTCTTTTATTAACCACTTTCTTAACTTTGAATAATATCTATTATTTAAAATTCCTTTAATCAGTTATAAAAAAATATTAAAGTAAAATATACACAAGTAAATAATATTAGAATACAAGCATTATTACTACACTACCTAAAAAATTATATTATATTTCAATACAACCATTTTCAAACAAAAGATTGGTTAATTCACCAATTTTCAATTCTTCACTTATTTCTTTAACTATCTCTTCATCTCCACACAATCCAATCTCATATTTTAATTCTTCAATCCTCACTCTTATTTCTTCAATTTCTCTTAATGTCCTTTGTTTACATTCATTAAATTCCTCTTTCATTTTATCTAATTCCTTCATGGAGTTCTCCAACTTTTCTTCGTACGTTTCCTTAAATTGTTCCAACCATTTCATTTCAGCCATTTGCATTTTCATATAATTCTTAATTTCTAAAATATATCCAAAACCTCCGTTAATATTGTCCGATACGGATTTACCTTTACATTTAATTTTTTGCTGTAACAAATCCAACTTCTCTTTTGACTTAGACATTTGTAAACAGGAATACCCCTTAAAAACATTTGTTTCGGTTAATAAGCAAGTATATTTATGATTGAATGTTATTATATAAGAATGTAATGTTTGTTGCTTCTTATAAAGTTCTTTTTGATGTATGTGAAGTTGATGTAATTTTGGAATAACCGATGATGTGGGAGAATTTGATAGGGATGAATGTGGGGATGGGAATGATGTGTGATGGGAGGAAAGGTATGATTGTTTGTTGTAAAATTTACAATTTACTACTGTAATGTCATCATCATCAATTTCTTGTTCTTGATCATTTTCGATATCATGAATTTGATGTTGCTGCTGCTGCTGATTTACGCCAACGAACCCCACGGCTCCTCCAATGAGGAATCCTACACTAAACATTGTTAATAATAACAATTTATTATTCGATGATGACATGATGATTTTGTATCTTGAATTTGGTTTACACAAAAGCAAAAAAAAAAAAGATATTTTTTATTTTTAAAGAAAAAAAAAAGTATCTATTAAACAAAAAGAGCGTGAATCAAAAATAAAAGAAGTTAGAAAGATACATGAAAATGAAAATGATAAAGGAATTTTTTTTTTTTTTTGCATAAATATAACAATCCGATTCATGTATTTTGCCGTTGCTGTTCTAATGTACATACATTCATGCGCAGATTGTGATTGTGAAACGGAAATGATCGGTGAAATCCCATAGTAAAACCTTTAAAAAGAATTTTTTTTATTTCCCTTTTTTTTTTTTGAAAATCCTTTTTTTAAAAATTACTTTCTGGTTTTATACTATTTATATCAATTGCAAAAATCCCTCCTTTATCATTATAAAAAAAAACTCCCATTCTAGTTTATAAACAGAAAATCATCGACTTATCCACATGATAATTTTGTTTACTATCACTATTTTTCCCGCAGTTACCTTTTATAGCATCGATCTGATTTACTGTAACTTTATGATCATTTGTGCAGGGTCGAACCATCATTTCTATTTATATTATTTACAATAAAAAAAAATTTTAATTGTCCACTCTATAATTAGATATAAGAACCTCTTACTGATTTATTTGTTATTCTTAATTCTCTAATAAACTATAACAATGCAAATTTAGTACCAATTAAAATCAAACTTAAAAAACTTTTTTAAGAGTTGATCAAAATATAAATCACATTTTATTAAAGTTATAATAACAACTAGTATCTTAAGATTATAATTATTTATAAATTGAATAACTTACTTCTTTTTTATTAAACAGTTATTTTATTAATCTAATATCAAATCTTTTATAGATATTTTCTCTTTATATATATAATTTAAAGCATATAAAAACATATAAAAATTTCTTTTTAAATACATATTTTTTTTCAATTACTCATTAAAATTCTAAAAAATATATAAAAAAAAATCTAATTATATATATTATTAGTTTAAAGCATAATGTAAGACTATTTACAGTCTAATCTCTCTCTCTCTTTTTTTTCTCTTTATATGCAATAATACAAAATATCCATCTATTTTCCTCCTTTCACTCTTTATTAAAATTATGTTTATTAATATATATTTATTTCACTGCTAATCTATTATAAATTACTTTATTATATGAATTTAAAATGTACAATGTTTTTAATATTCTATATTTACAAACAGTCTTTACTACCTAATACTTAAAATATATATAATTTTTGACAAAACATAATAATAATAAAGATATCAAATTTTTTTTACAGCTATATTACTATTTTTTTAATATTTATATTATTTATATTATAAAATTAAACAATAAATATCAAATCAGATCTTTCAACAAAATATTGGTTTAAATTACATCTTATAAAATATTTAAATAACTTGAAAAAATATTATTTGAGTAAGTCATCTTTAATTTTATATTATTTAAACTAGAATTCTGAATCAGATCAGATTAACCTATTTACCTAAACTAACCTGATCTGAAAATCTAAATCAACTAATTGTTCTTCTTAAATAATTTATTTAAATTATTATTCAATTAAAATGATTTTTATTATTCTTTTTGAAAGATATCTTATTGTTCAATTAAAACAATTCTTTATCATTCTTTTTAAATGATTTATTATTATTTAATTAAAACATTTTTTATTGTTTTTCTTGAATAATTCTTTATTATTCTTGATAATATTTTATCATTCAGTTAAAATAATTCTAATTAAATGATTTATTATTATTCAATTAAAATAATTTAGTTAGGTTAAGTCAGATCAGATCAAATAAAAATTAAAATTTGATCAGATTTTATTTAACCTAATCTAATCCTCTCAGTTTAGGTAACTTGATTAACCTAACCTAAACTAATCTATTTAGAGCTTTAATTTAAACTTAAATTATATAGGTTAATTTAAAAAAAAATAATAAAGCTTTTAATAGTTAAATTAAGTTAGTCATACTATAAATCAACTATGATTTTTAAAGTATTGTTTATTAAGTTAAACTATATTTAAATAAAATTTACAATTATATAAATTAAAATAAAAATTAATATAGTTATATTTACTATAATTTTCTTAATATTTTGTATAGTATAGAGTGCTGACTGAAGCAGTACTCATTTATTATTATTATTAAATAAACTATTTACTGATTAACACTTTTCTAAAATTAATTATAAAATTAATCTTCTCTTTACTATTTGATTATATCATATTGCTTATCAATTATAAGTACTTTAAAAAATTAATTATAATAATAATATATTACTTACAATTCACTAATTAATATGAATAAAAATTCTTCAAATCTAGAAAAATCATATATTTCTCAACAGTTAATAGAATAATTTAAAAGATTTGTAGATATTATAGAGAATATTATAAATATAATTATATCATTTTAATAATATTTAACTATATCATCTGTTTTAGATTTATTTTACTATCTATTCTATATATAATATATTAATAATTTTTTCAAAATAAAAAAAAAATAATAAGAATAATAAAGAAAAAATATAAAGCAGATAGAATAGATAAATTGATAAATTAAAAAAAAATATTTTATAATGAATAAAAAAATAATTTTTAAAATCAATTATTTAAAAGATGAACATCACAATTAAAAAAAATAATGCAATTGAATTACAACTTGTAATACAATTAAATTTCTTATATTGCAATTAAGTTGCAATTTAATTAAAATTTGAAAATAATTATGAAGATTATTTTTACAATTATTTGATTTGTTTTAATGTTTTAATCTATTTTATAAACTAGAAATGTATTTAAATAAGCATAACATTTTTTTATATATTTTTTAATATATACTTTAAAATACAACTATTCTAATCTGTATATTATAGAAGTAACTATAAAAGAGTAATTATTAAAGAAAAGTTAATCTGATGTTAAATTTGTATTTGATAAAAAAATATATATATATAAGTAAAAATATGAATAGGAGATCGTTAAGGTAATTACAGTCTCTAGCGAAAAGAATGGCGAAAACATATTTTGACGGTATGTACAAACTTTATTTTAATGTATATATTTTTTTTTTATTATTTATAAGAACAATACTAACGACAACTTTTATATGATTAATTA